ATACGCTTGTTGTACGGATGATTTAAAACGCGTGTCTTGTATTTTTAGTCCATTAGTGGTACAAGATAACATATACAAATGCGATATACTTGCGCATAGTAAAAATATTATATGGAATCGCAATTCTCACATAGTCCAAGATCGTGTTGTTTCTACAGAGGAAAAATAATGGGAATAATAATAATAATTATGATAATAATAACAGTAACATGTCTACCTATACCTATTTTATATTATTATTTTATTGGAAAAAAGAAATTTGTGATCGGGAATCGGCCATCGGGTGGTGTTTGATAATAATTATGACAACTGTCTGGTACCACCAGCATAAGAAGATGTGTTTATAGAAATGATTTTTACTTTATTTTTCACCGGCGCTTTTGAAAGTTACAGCGAATTTTAAATTTTCACCTTCCGAATGCAGCAACAATATTCACTTTCCCATCGAACAAGATACTGAAGTTGAAAATCGAAGCATTATTTCGACTACTTATTGTGTCACAGACACTAAAATAAAAAAATAAGAAAAAACACATATCATTGTAAAAACAATACATTCATCGTTTCACTCAGAATCTAAAATTTGAATTGAAAATCTCTGTACAGCCTAAACTCTTTAACTACTTATCAGATCTTCTTGATTTTTTTTTTAAACGAAAATTTCACGGAAAAGGTTTATATGAAAGGAATTTATTACGGTTACGTTAGGGTAGGATTTTGCATAAATTGATTATATTAATCTACCGTAGGTGGAATGAAGTAGAAACGGCAAACTTGGTTTAACTTTGATATTTTAGAGTTAAATCATACACTTACGTACAAACAACACGGGATCCGCTATCTACCGCAGGTATATTGCCAACTTGATAATGTACTGCTGCGAATCAGAATTTTTATTCGGGGCAACGGAAAAGTTAAGATAAATTTTGAACACCATCACCGACTATTAAATAACGAATTGAACAAAGTTTGAATCATATAGAGTTGATACATTTAACGGGCAACGAAGTAGACGTGATCAGCTAGTATTATTTAATATTACACAATAATATAATATAAATATATGTAACATTATAATTTATATTATACGGGGAAAAAAAGAACAGCCGCTTCTAATAATAGTGTAATTAAACAAATCCACTGTACTAGCTCACCGTCGGTGTCGTGGACCAAAAGGAAACGGTGTTTGATAAGCCAATGACGCCGGCGGCCATCCACTCAATAATGTATTCCACCATACAGCCGTTTAACGTTATACAAGCCGTACTTCAACAGGAAATTATTTTATACTGTGGCCGGCTAATAGCCACCAACCCGGATATGTTCAAAGGCATTTTGAAAATTAGAGTTGGGTAAGTAGTATCTAATTTAACGATTATTTAAGATTTAACTGAAACGTTTTTAAGTCATTGAACTTATACTTATAGTACACTTTAATAGAATTGTCAATGTAAAAAAATCTTGGTTTTCACCTGGGGGTGAGTTTTCCCGGACAACGCTGGGCGAGACAGCTAGTAACTTATAGACGTCATGTTTAATTATAACTATTATTAGTTCTAAGTGAAACTCTGGGGCCGTCGAAGTCGCTAGAGTGGGTGCAGATTTTGGAGTAAGAGTCGTTTGAATTATAAAAGTCGCTATAGTTGTAAGACGAAAGTTTAGGATTAGTGATATGAATTGGAATTAAGGCTTGACGTTTTGGCGGGAATGTTTAAAAGTTAGAGCGTCTAGCAATCCGTCACAAATGTTGTAACTGAATAGGCTGGATACGATCTCCTATTGGTATAAAGTGTAGAGTCGGTAGGTGTATTCGATTGTTTAGCTATCAGTCATCATATCACATAGGTAGACAATCCGACTGCGTCGAATCGTGGTCATAATGCGAAGCGTATTCACCTGTGGTGGATTGCGGACCACGTTGGCATAGGTAACTGAAGAATGGAAAATATAGTTAGTCTCCCGGACCTCTATTCTGATATTGACAGGCTGCTATAGTGCTTGTACATTGTACAATGCTGGCCTTGTCAATCTGGCACCTACTGTACGTCCATATTATTATGTTTATTATTAATACGCTTCTATTTGTAGATGTGTGATGGAAGCTATGACGTTGCAATTAAATTATGGCAAGAAAAAACAATTGATGGTCGAAAACTTGAGTCCATACGCCATAAGGAAATTGTTACAAAAAATATTTACAGTCAAGGAATGGGGGCAAATAGAACAGTAAGTACTCATTATAAAATACTAACAGTTTTTATTATGTGCGGTTTTATTGTTGTTCAGATTTAAAACGGTAAGGTACCTAAGTGTATTTAAATGCTTGAAATATTTCAGCTGAAAATGTACTAATAAGGACGATCTTTAGAAGACTAGAATTATTATAAAATACGTAATATTTACATAGGTAACATTATAACAAATAACATAATTTATAGCTATTTATTGCATAATTGTTGTATTCTTGCACAATATAAAGAGAACTTTTAATCAGATTTTCCCATTATTGTCTTTATGCATTATTAATGGTTTTGTTGATATTAAAAAACCTAAAAAAAACATATAAACTAAATGCTACTTTGAAATAAAGAATAATTTTTCTTAAAAAAATGTGAATATTTTGTTCTTGATTATGCTATGTTTATTTCCTTTAATAAGCCATCCTTTCAATAAATTTTCATGCATATTTCCTATACAAAATAATATTGTTGTTTCACATCTGCCAAGTATCCCGTGACAGCTCACTTTTTTGAAAGACATTTAGTTGAAATTTGATATTTGACGAAGAATAGTGATTTTAGTTGTTTTGTTGTAATTTAAAAATATTATCCAAGGGTACTTGAAACTTTTTAAGTATATAATATTATATTTTATACACAGAATGACTATTTTTAATGCAATATTTACGGAAAAAATTATTTTAACCTACTATTTAACTAATATTAAAAAAACTACTTTAATACTAATATAAATATATCATAAATAGAACTCAGGACTTAAAGTATAAAACATTATCAAAATATGCAATAAAATTGGTTAAATATATACGAAATATTAGTTAAATATGCACGAATATGTAAAAATGTATTTTTAGTTTTGTATGAAATAATTGTATAATTGTGTGTATATATTTACAGGTATCAATAAAAAAACAAAAATGTATTATATTCCATCTGACCAATTATCAGTCTTGTGCTTTTCTAAAAAAAAAAAATACAATTATTAAACAAATTTTACTAAATTGAAAATTACACTGTGCAATAATAAATCTGTGGTTCAGCTCGGCGCAGTGGCTGAAATAAATCACTTGACGTGATTGAGGGTAAGAAACGCCCGCACCCACTAGTTCTCGGATGGGTGACCACCCTGGTTCGTATTTCTCAAAAAACTTGCCACACATACATGTGTTCCTAACAGACCGTACCATTCATCCCAACCATACTGTACCGACCCTACCAACATTACACGATAATGCCCTCATCGTCAAAAACCTAATTAAAAGGAAAAAATAATAATAAATCTTTTAATGTTCTCAAATTTAAATTAAGAACTATTTAAATCTTCAGGCATATCAATATTTTTACCATATAACCTCGATTTTTAGTGAAAAGGATTTCAGTTTTAGTTTTAATTTCACCCTCTTTTCTCACGTACACACATAAAAATCGTTAGTTGTTTTAACTCCAAATGAAGTCTTTTCCAATATATTTTATCATTGAACTTGACTTGGGACTCAACAAGTGTTGATTTACTACTATTCAACATATTAAAATTACTAAAAATATATTGTTACTACAAATACATTATAATGCTATATTAAGATATCAAAACGCAGCTAGATTAACTTTCATAATGTTGTAAAGTGAGATTTTGGAGTAGTTAAAATAACTACAAGATACAGATCAATGGAGATTACTAATTATAAGAATAGAAATAATTCGCTTTAATGAGGGATTCTAATCGGAAGATGCATATAACCTAGCGCTTTAACCTAACTACTTAACCAAACTACGTAATACGTAGTACGTACAGATTGTGATAAAATATACCAATTATATAAGGGAATTTCGTGAACTAATGTAGGCACTTCGTTAATTCACCCACTGTGTTTGTAGAGAATGAACACTCCGAATGGTTAATTTTGTCACAATTTTGGAGTAGAAACCACAACAAAATTAGTTCATAATGAATCGAGCTCATGTTTTAAAACAACATATTATCTATTTTTTCAATTCAACTACATGGTATTTTATTATATTGAATATCAACAACTTCCTAAATTCAACTAATTTTGGATGTAATTATGAATATTTATCATTTCTCAACACTATGGGTTAAGTCGAGATATTTGACCCTTTATATAAAAATATGCATCATTATGTCCGAGCCAGTGGCGTAAATAGGGGGGGGGGTGTTCAAAAAAAATATTTGTTCACAATTTATATGAAATAGGTATTACACTATTACTAGGTAATTGAGATAATGACGGACCGTCGTGCGACTCGTGCGTCGTCGATAGTCATAATATCTATACTATCTATAGTAATATTTATCTTAGATATTAATAGTAATATTATATTATCTCAGTTCGTCGTATCGACTTTAACGGCCACTCAAATTCTCTATAGTATACTTATTACTAATAAGTTATTAGTAAGTTATTATGACCAATAAGACGCGATTAACAGAATTTAGTTTGTTTTCTGACTTTGGTTGTTTCAGTATATTATGGTTAATTCGGTGCTTTGTGCGAGTCGCGTGTGTAATTATATGTAAGTACCATTTAAACTAATATTTCTGAATTCTGTTACAAATGTTACAATCCAACAATCCACGAGGTATCAAGTTAAAATCTTGTACCATTCCTGAAATACGAAATTGTATTGGTTCAGTCTCAACAATTATAAATTTCTTTCGAAAATCTCCAATGAGATCTGAGGTTTTAAAAGAATGTATAAAAAAACATATTCCAAGTACCCAACAAAAGTACCCTTATAAAAATGTGTGAAACACGTTGGGTAGATCGTCACGAAAGTATGTTGAGATTCAAAGATTTATACGAAGTTATAGCTTATGCATTACATAATCTCGAAAATAATCATAATACAGAAACATCACAACTCGCTTTTCAATTATCTAAGACTCATCGCTCGTCTCAATTTATAATAGCATTATATATCATAGAAAAACTTTTTGCCTTTACATTTCCATTATGTAATGCATTACAAAAAGTAAATAGTGATTTATCTGAGTGTTGTTAAAATGTTGAAAATTGTATACAAGTTTTATCTTCTATTCGTATAAATGCCGATGAAGATTTTCAAACATTATTTTTAGAAGTCGAAAAAAAATTGAATATATTGGATGAAACTATTCAAATACCTCGAATAACTGGTCGCCAATTGTCTCGTAGTAATACGTCAGCTGAATCACCGGAACAGTATTATAAACGAACAATATTTATACCATTTATTGATTATTTTAAAAATTAATTAATAGAACGATTTTCTTAACACAATGAAATTATTTCTGTATTACAAAAGTTGATTCCAAATCTCCTCAACAAATTTAAACCTAGTTATAATGATTTTGAAAAATGTATAGACTTTTATAAAGATGTTTTACCCAGTTACAATACATTTGAATCAGAATTAAAAGTATGGACAGAAAAATGGAAAAAAGTTCTTCAGAATGAGGTTCCAAAGTCTTCTATTGATACTTTCAATAAAGTATCCGTTGATTTTTTTCCAAATATAAGTATATGGTGCTTGATTTCAATATTAGTAACTTTACCGGTATCAACAGCATTATCGGAAAGATCATTTTCAACGCTAAAAAGATTGAAGTCGTACTTAAGGAATAGTACTAGTGAAAATCGACTAACAGGATTTGCCCTCATGTCAATTCATTGCAGTATTTCAATAGACACTGAAGAAGTGATTAATAATTTTGCAATGCTGCCTCGAAAATTGGATTTTTTTGCTTTAATTTAATTAATATAATATTCTAGTTTTTATAATTTATTATTAAAATAAAGTTAATTTATAATAATAATTAAATACATTTTGTTTATAAACCGCCCCCCCCCCCCCGAAATTAAATCCTATATACACCTGGTCCACTGGTCCGAGCCATGCTCATAAAATATACCTACCTACATAGGCTGACAGATCGTCCTCGATCAGAATCGTTTTACTTATACATTTTTTTTAAATATTGCATTAAAATATAGCTCATCCGGTACAATGACTCTTCAGGCACCTAATTTACAGCAAAGAGGTACCTAATTACATGCCCACTTTTTTTTAAAATAAAAATATAAAAGAAAGACTTTAAGCAAAAAGAAACTGTTTATTTTAACACTGTAATTATAATCTACTAGCTGATCCCGTGCACTTCGTTTCCCGTTAAATGTATCAACTCTATATGATTCAAACTTTGTTCAATTCGTTATTTAATATTCGGTGTATGGTGTTCAAAATTTATCTTAACTCTTCTGTTGCCTGGGATAAAAGTTATTCGCAACAGTATATTATTAGGTAGGAGATCTACCTACGGTAGATTGCGGACCCCGAGCCGCTTGTACGTAACTTTATAATTTAACTCTAAAGTAGGTATCAGAGTTATACCTACCAAGTATGTCACTGAACTCCTCCTAAACGGCTGGACTAATTGTGAATGCCGAGTCTGTCGACCAATATTTCCTCCTCATCCACGAAGACGTGGAATTGTTTTATGTACGTAACTTATATGTGAGTAAAATACGCTCAATATTTACGTAATTTCAATATATTATATAATATCAAAACACAGGGTACAAAAAAATTATATGCATTGAATGAATACACTGATTTCACAGCAACCAATAATTATTATTATAATAGCTTTAAAACCCATAGCGACCATTTATAAACAAAAATGTCCACCGTAAATCTCTAGATCCCCGTTTCAGCACATACCCTGGTTGGACTTAGGGGGTGGTTTGTAGCCTATGTGTATGTATTATTCTGATGTATAACCTATATTATTGTAAAGTTTCATTAAAATCCATTCAGTAGTTTTTACGTGAAAGAGTAACATACTTACAAACTTTCCCGTTTATAATATTAGTAGGATATTCGTTATTTCATTATCTTTGCTTTTAAGTAGTTTTGACTGTTTTACATTTTTTTTCTAATCATTATTACAAAGCGTGAAGTGTGATGCAAAACTATGGTATAGAGAATATAGATGCAACTTTTTCATTCATTTACAGACTACCTATAGTTTATCTTGAATACCCTTCTTTAATCTACTTCCCCAATGTATAAAAATTTTAGGTATAAATTAAAAAATATAATTAATATTAGAATGAATTAACCTATTTATAACAATTTTAAGTAAAAACATTATATGTGCTTAAGGGTCGGCTTTTATTCAATATTTTCATTTTCAAGTGAAATATGTACATTTTTAAATTGTGATAATATATAACAGTTATTCAATATAATATCAAAACTAACAGCACACCATTGAAACTAGTGAACGAAAATGTTTTAGGTCGAAGACGGGTAACTTTAACTAGATGTATAAGACGGAGACAACAAATGTAGGTATGGGTCCGTTTAAGTCATTACCGACATTGAACGGTAGAATCAATAGGTTCACGATACGAATATTCTAAAATTAGTCTAAATATTTTGTACATTTTATTATGTATAGAATATAATATAAATATATAGAATATAACTACAACAAAAAAATGGAAAATTAGTTACGAATCTCAACGATTTGTATTTTTTGAATTACAACAAAATAACTAAAATCGTTACTTCTTTTATCAAATTTCAATAAAATAAAGAAACAATTCTGCCTAAAATTATTTATTTTCGATATTGATAGAAAGTAAAAAAAACTAAATATAACTTAATATGATAAACGTTGTATTAAATTTTCAAATAAATATTGACAGTTTCAATCGTCTTTAATAAATATCACAAAGAGAGCATACATGTTTTGAAATTTAAATCATGTCTAGAAAATACCAGTATAATTAATATTTGGTGATAATTTTAAGTCCTTACGATTTTTTTTCTCTATTAAGAACAACCACATAAATGTCTTATCAATCGTCTATCGCAGGATCAACATGCTGCAAAAGCGAAAGCTTGAGGGTTGCTTGTGCAGGGTGCCCAATCGGTTCTACAACCAAGTGTGGGACATACTAAGACGTACTCCTAGGGGTATCCGTTTCCGGAATCAAGTAATGCCGCAGCAGCCCACCATCAACAACATGACGCACTCTGAGCTTCAGTTCGCGTTGTACGTCGAAACCATGTTGAACCAACTAGAAAAGCCTGAGTACAGACAACTCATTGTCGAGGTAATAATTTTAATCATAATATAAATAGTTCCATCCCCTATCTATATTATAAATTATAATATAATATTCTCACAAGTTCGAACTATGTGTTGCCAACTATTCCGATAAAATAGTATAACATTGTTTGTTTTCTATATACACGTAAAATAATATCTATAATTTATTGTTTATCTGATATTTTTACTATATAAAAATTTTAACGCTATACAATTTAGCATAAAAGTATTTTAATTTGTTTTTTATTATTGTGTATTTTATAACCATTATGTTTTAAATGTATTTATGTAGGTGCTTAAAATTATGTAAATATATTGCTTTCATGAAGTTGAATATATTATATAGTTATAACTTAAACTCATATGTATATAATATTATCAAATCGTGAACATATTCCGTCCTCTGTTAATTTCCCCTTGCAATGATTAGTCATTAAGCTTATTTCGGTATATAATTCATCATGTCTATTATCGTAATTTTGTAAAGCTACGAATGTTTAGGTTTCCATTGGGCTCCGGTGATTCTTATCTGGCATTGATTCTCATAAAATATTGATGTTTGGTTCATAAAGTCTTCGACGGTACACGGTAGTTTCACTTAGACCATTGTTATTATTATAAACCTACGTAATAATATATTATGTATTAGAACTCGTTAACATACCTACATTTCTTATTTTCATTATTATTATCTTAGTATCCCTAATATAAGATATTTAGTAATAGCCCTAATGCCCTATATATATCCTTTTTTTTTATTATTATGATTTATGAAAGACATTGCGTATATTCTCCTCGTGACCTCGTGGCTCTAGTCTTTTTAAATGGGCAATCCTACTGTCACAAACCAATTGGAAAATCATCCATTTAATGTCATCTGGCCAAACGCATGCTTTTTTCTGAGTCTCCCCAAAACGTTTTATTGCTCTTCTTGCCATTTTTCCATATATGTCTAAATCCTTCATTGTTTCATTTTGAGCATCGTGAGCATCAATGGCTGTTCGTTTTAAGAAAGAATGGTCACTGGTTTCTTTCTGTTAATAATTAATCATATTTTTTTATTTTTCGTATTATTTTCTTATTCATATAAGTATACCTACCCATATATTAATATCACCTATAACCTGGCCTACATCTCATGGATTCTTGCAATCTTGGCCAAATCTATCCAATAAATCTAACCTAATTTCGTGAACTCATTAGTTACCCTATTTGCAGGGTTGGGCAGTATCAAAGATACAATTGTTTTTTTGTATCTTGTATCGTGATACATAATTTTAAATTATCAAGTATCATGTATAATGATACATTTTACACTAGTATCATATATTATTATTGTAAACATTTATTCTGAATAGTACCAAGAAAACTGAATTCGATTTGCTGTACACTCAAAACTCAAATAAATGTAATAATCGTGGTAATTTTTTTTGTTTGTCTATTATTAATATTGTACTGTACATAATTTCGTCGTGGATTGTATTTTTACGAAAAATTTTCCAGGCGCAATCGAGCTAAAATGAAGGATAATCAAAAAATGTACCACACAATGTTATAACTTCTAAGATAATTTGAAAAATATTAAGGGGCCATGCCACTGCCGTCAATTTTAGCTGAAAAGACTCAAATTCTTATTAAATTAAAGTTAGTTAACGTTGTCCGATTTTGATTCTGAAAAAAAAAACTGAACTCATCAGAAAATTGTCTATAGATTCTACGAAGCACTTTGTAAAAACTACATTTTATATTATTGTGAACTGTAATTGAAAACTTGAAAATATCAAATTTTTCGAATCATAATTAAAATTAAAATTAATATTAAAAACGGAAAATGTTTCGAACTATCAACAGACGTTTTTCTGCTGAATTCAAATATTTTTTCAGAATCAAAATCAGACAACGTTAACTAACTTTAATTTTGCCTAAACAAATGTTGATTTTTGTAAATTTCGTGTAGTGAAATTTATATGGTTATCGAGTTATTGACATGTGCATCATGTGCGTACGAGAGAAGATACCTGCATTTAATTTTACCATCTCTAATAATCATTTACAACTAACACATAGATCCTATGACAAGATTAGAAATTGCCTATACGGTGCCCCTTAAATAATGACCGGAGCGAAGCCCCTTAAATTAAATTACCAGCTATCTTTAATAATGTCCTATTTATAATACCTACTACAGTCATACAGATAAACACTAAACTGAAATTTTCGTCTCATAAAATATGAATCTGCAACCTAGATATAAGTGAAACCGTTTAGGTTTTTCCATATATAATAAATAATTCAATTAAAAGGACAGATAAGCAATTACATTGTACTATCTACTAGCTTTGTTGTGCAATTTATTTCGTTCTGTCTTCTGTGTGGCTGTGTCTGTATCAACTGCCAGTAAAATAATTTTAATATTTAATAGTCAATAAAATTAAATTGGAAATACAAAAGCATCATGTATCTTTGATACATGACGTATCTTGTATCTTGTATCTTGACGAAATACATATATCATGTATCATGATACTTTATTTGAGTAACTTGCCCAACCCTGCCTATTTGTCAACCTCCCGCAGTTATTTTTTACTTTCTCTTCCCTTAAGTTGTGGAGGTTTTATGTTCCTATATATTATTG